TTGAGTTTTCAATCAAGCTTTTAATGAAAAGATCATAAAATAACAGTTTCTTTTTCCTCACCGCTGTACATTAAGACTGTAAGGTTGTGAGTGCCGAGGTCAGCCGTATTACACTTTTTATGACACTTTTTGAGTTTGCGAGCCCCGTCGCTCTGCACGGCGGTAGCTCTGACCTGAATACGAGCTCTTTGAGGAGTGGAGATGAAGAGAGCCCAGCCTGGGTGCTGCCAAAAGCCACAAGGGTCAGAGAAACTCACCTTAAACACTGGGGTGTGTGTGTGTGTGTGTGTGTGTGCAGTCTAGACGGTGGCATCTGTGTTTGCACTAGTGGAGGTTTAAGGGCATGCATGCCAACAAAAGTGCACCTGGGTGTGTACACCTTTGCATGCAATGTGTTGTTTGCCAAAAGGGGAGGGGCTTGTTGCCCTTTAATTATTCACCAGCAAAGACCCTACATGTCCATTTCAGAGCCTCTCAGCCTCCATAGATCCTGATACATTATTGAGAGGCTGTTCCTGAAGAAAACCAGAGAGGAAGCCGTGTATACAAACATCACAAGCAGCTCCACTGAAAAACACTTCAAGTATCATCTTTTATTAGCAGCGAATTACATCTGTCCATTAACGAAGTGCACCAAGGTGACACCGTGCGTTTAAGAATCCATAAAAAAATATGTAAATTAAAAGGTATGTATGAAAATATGCTGCCATAAACTCTTTTAAATGAGAACATTTTGGTTACAGATGGACGGCAAAAATAGACCAATGGCAAGACAGCATGTTTCTGTAAACACTGATAGTTTTGAGGTAATTTAGTGTTTTCTACGTTTAGTCACTGCTGTACGTCACTGGAGGTGCAGAAAATAGTGAAACACAGCAGCGCAGACGAGCCCCAGAGCTCCAACACAGAGATCACACAAGACCAAAGAGCTAACGCGGGGCTCGGGCGTAGTCGAGATAACGCAACGGACAATAAAGCTTAAACTGGGCTGCGTGGGACTGGAGGCCATTTTTAAAAGAAGGCTTTGGTTTAGTTCTGACAAGAAGCAACTCTTTAATATTAGACAGAACAGCCTCTCTTAAAAAAATATGGAAGAAAAAACAAAACAGTGAAATAAGAATGCAGAGAGCTGAGAACAGTCTCTCAGAAGAGTTTCCTGCTTCATCTTAAAGCTTTCCTAACGCAGCACAAACTATATCGCTTTTGTTTTCAGCAAACAACAAACACGAGGTAAAACAGAAAGAGGGTGAACCGTAGGTTAGATCAGAGCCGACACGAGAGCACCCGGGTCCTCCCAGAGGCTTTAAAAACATACAAAGTGCACTTAGTAAAGCTATAATCATCCAACGTGTCTAAAATCCGCCTGTGTGAAACTAACAGACACTAAAAAGGTGGTTTGAGCCTAAACAGAACATTAATGCTCGGAGGTGTGAGCTACGTGCGAGCTCCTGCAGCGGAAAATCTAGTTTGTTGTTTTTCTTTAATGTCAGCGGCAGCGTGGCAACACCCAGGGAGAGCGAGCATGACACAAAATACAGTAGCCTCCACTCTGCACAGGTAGTGACAATGTCCAGCCTGTGTCCACAGACACACACACACACACACACACGCACACACACACCAAGGGTTAAAGGTCAACTCCCCTCTGTGTGCAGTCAGTGAGAGCTCAAGCCTGCATGGGCCAAAAGGACCCATTTCATAGTAGAACACATGAAATAAAAGGTAGAACTGAGCAGATAGTAAATGCCATAGACCATTCTCTTCAAGTTGAAAAACAAAAAAACATCAGTTCTCCCACAAAAACGGTCATTTTCACAGACTGTGGTTAATGGCTATGTTTGTGTCTCGATTTAGATTCAGCTTGAAATCGTCAAAACAACAACAAAAAAGAGGGTCCTGCCGCCACCTCGGTCTCACGCGCTGAGTAAATTCTTTGAAGAGGTGACGGCAGGCCCAGAAATAAATACATTCATCAGCGACAATAGACATTTGATAATAAAAAAAAAAGAACACTGTCAATAAGTGTTTGCGCCAACGTTGTTTGAGGCTCAGCCAGTCGGGAGGTTTGTGCTGCTTTTAACCCACAGGCAAAAAAAAAAAGGTTCAAAACATCACAAAGAGCAGGAAAAAGGACAACATTCACAGTTAAGACGAGCAGATAAGCCTGTTTACATGTTCAGAACTGATCAATGCTACATTCTCCAGATAGGTTTAAACAACCACCAGCATGAGAGGTGTCAGAGGGCTAAAAGCGTCACACAGTCGAGGTACTTTCTCAAGCGTGTTTGGGTAAACAGACACAGCACGGAGCTAAAGACCCCATCGAACAATGCCTTTTGATTAATACATCAAGGATGCACCCCCCCCCCCCCCCCCCCCTCCTCGTTCTGTCACCCACTGAAGACAGGCCAGAGGGCAGGAGGGCTGGGGTGCAGGGTCACCCCAAAGCCAGCTGGCAGGGAGGGGAGGAGGGGGGAGTGCCCCTAAACAACATATCCTCCCCCTCATTGAATATGTAGTAGTTTACACCAAGTTTAACGCTATACTTTTATTTTGGCAGCAACATCTGTGGAAAAGCATCTTGAGGAAAAAATTGATTAAAAAAATAAAATAAAATAAAAATGCCGAGACTACCTCGCGACTGGCCGAGTCTCGACTGAGGTCTGTAAAACTGTAAAAGTTCATGTAAACAATGAGATAAATACATATGTTTTCTTTTAGAGCCACACACTGTTTTATAATCATTCAAATGTGCTTTGGTTTAAAAAATAGTTTGTGGATTTGGGTATGAGCTTTTCTCTCTTCTAGGTTCTTTGTACAAGTTCGCAACTATTTCCGAACAAACGATGAAACCGACTAAAACGTAGAGATGTTTCGAGCTGCCTCGCCTTTGTCAAGGCTCTGTGTGTTAGCTGAAAAAGAACGCCCCTCCCCCACACCTCCCCTGTTTATCTTAAATATGAAACTAGTGCCCCTCCCCCCCAGGTTAAAATACAGAGAAACTGATACGATGCTTTATCTTACAAATGTAGCTGAGAGTCTGCATTCACAGACACAGAACAATCCCTGAAGTACTTGAATAGTAGTAGTAATAGTAGTAGTAGTACGGTCACAGTTTGGAGTTATTTTTTCTTCGTTTCGTCAAACAAGCAAGCATTCAAATGCAGCTGCAAAAGTCTTTTGCAGAGATGGCTAAAGACGATGTGGTACGAACACCTTTTGTGTTACAGACGTTCGGCCGTAGTGCACCAGGTGCTGACAAGTACACCAACGTTTGAAGGCAATGCATTGTGGACTCCCTCTGAAGCTCGAAGAGGTCACAAGTAACAGAAGTATCAGGCGATAAATAACAAGGGTGGAGGGGTCGGGGAGTGTGTACCATGCAATATTTAAAACGGGAACGGCTGAACAGGAAAACTCCGGGAGTCCAGGATGCAGGTACCTCGAAACGACTTGTGAAGCTTTAGCGGCATCCCTAAGAGATCGACATTTCACAGGCCTAAACAAGAAGACGAAGGAGGTATGAAACAAAAAATTCAATCAAGAGGGACAGTTGAGACATAACAGAGGAATGCCTACACCAAAAACTTGTAGCGAAGGTTTAGGATCCACAGTGACTTTTTAAGAGTAGATACACTGGACAGGTGTCGGCGGGTTAGGGTTGCCTATGATGAGGTACGTTTTAATAAGGTTTAAAATAGTTTTAAATAATGGAACAGAATCAGACAATAAGGAGAGCTGTCCAGTGCATCTCTGCTTCTCCCTTCTTATTACGAGTTTTCACAAGCCTGGCTCAAAGAAACAAAAAAAAAAAAAAAAAGTTACTTAAACTTCACATTAAATTCTCATAATCATTCCTATCTTTTGTTGTTTTTTGTATTATTTTTTTGGTCTGAACAGAACGCGTAAAGCGTCATCCATCGAGTTCTGTTCCTCTTTTGTTTTTTTTTTTAAAATAAAATCAGGGAGTATAAAGTGATAAGGGCTCTGGACACAAACATGAAGAATTAAACTTCGCCGCTTTCGTCCGGCGCTAGAGTTTAAGTCACACCGGCCCACCAATCAGCACAAGCTTTCCTTGCAAAACCACAAGAACCATCGCAAGTCTCAAGAGTCATCGGCCAAAACTCCTCAAAACAAGAATGGATTTCTTTGTCTGGACTTTAGAATATAATTCGTAATCTGTTTTATACAGCAAAAAAGAAATAAAAAGGAAATAATTTAGTATGCTATATATCATAGGTACATCTTCTTTAAACTTTGGTTATGAACTTGTCTAGCAATGTTTTGTTAGTTAGCTCCGTTCTCCTCGACATTCATTAAGATCTTTGGAACACTATACATCTAGACTAACCAACTAACCGCTATTTGCTCCGGGCAGGACGCTACAGTACACTTTGTATCGGGGTCGCAATGACCAGGACCCCAGAAAAAGCTATATCTGACAAGTACAAACAACTAAAAACAATAATTATTATATAATAATGTGTAAAATCTATGGGCATTAAAAACCTGTGTTGAGAGATGGGCAGGTTAAAGCATTAGGTGAAAAGTTAATGTCATCTACACACTTTTTACAATTAATTACATAGGAACTTTCAACCAATCAACAGAGTTCAGAGTAATCAGAGGTAGCGAGGTCACAAGCCTACAGAAATAGACTTTTCTTTTTTTGTGAGGGGAGGAAAGCTATACAGGCAGAAAAATAAACGTACCCACTTAACGTAATCATTTGAAAACGCCCTCTTCCTTAGCCCCATTAGACCCCCACCCCACCCCGGATCCCTCCCCCAAAACGAGAAAAAATCCCAAGACCTTCCAGTTTAGACATTCACTGAAACATGACAAGCTCTTTAAGTTAAAGAAGTACCTCAAGGGTTCATCTTCCCAGCAAGGATTGGCTCCCTGGAGCTCTAGCAGGCAAGTCTAGAAAGCAATGCAACTCTTCTGTACACCAATGCAAACAGCCGCAGAGAGGACGCTGGATTTTTGTCTGTTCAAACAAACATGTCCTCCCCGACATAAACCTATCTTCCTGGACTTTCAGGTAAAGCATGGAGATGGTCCCAAACCCAGTTACCCCTCCTCTTTCATACATATAGCATCATCATAGGATATAAAGCTGTCAGGGTTAAAAATACTCTTTGCAGAATTATTGCCAGTATTGTTTGCGCTGATTTTTGGTCAAAGTAGCTCTGGAGTCCAGCCGGGACTGTTGGATTAACCAGTTTCAGGTACAATCTGAATGCTTCAGAGTGAAGAGGAAGGCGGCTGAGGGGTACGAGGTGAGCGGATTTGACATTACATCCGTACCCACATTCACATTTAACAAACTAGATGTCGCGCCACTCCACCATGGCTTCGTGACTTTGGAGAGAGACGAGATGTCCCTCGAAAACTCCTGAGAGGTGAGCACATGTCACTCGATATAAACGATGACCCGATCCTCGCATCAACAAGATCCCACCATCAACAAGAGACCACTGTGGAAAGCGGTTACATCATTCACTCATCCAGGGCGTCGTAAACTGGAATCGATAAGAACTATGCGTGTTTTCGCGTGAATGTGTGTGTGTGCATTTCTTTGCTTCTGAGAAGGAAAAAAGGTTGTGAGATGTTCCTTTGTTTTCGTTTTCCCATAGTTCTTTGGCTTGATGCATCTCTAAGTGGGCGAGGTGTGCATTCTCAGGTGACTGATGAGATTGCGCTGCTGGGTAAACTTCCCTCCGCATAGCTGGCATTCGTACGGCTTCTCTCCAGAGTGGACTCGCATGTGCTCCGTCAGGCGGTACTGGCGTGTGAAGCGCATGCCGCACTCTTCACACGCGAAAGGCTTCAGACCTAGGTGGCTACGCATGTGGCGTGTCATGGTTCCTCTCTGGGTGAACATTTTGCCGCAGATGTTGCAGGGGAAGGGTCTGGTCAGCCAGTGGCTCTTTTCGTGCTGTCGCAGCGTTGCGGGGTCTTTGTAGCTCTTACTGCAGACAGTACACTTGAACGGACGTGTTTCTGAGCCAAAACTGGAGGGCCCTACGGTGGCAGAAAGGTCTTCTGCCTCCTCCTCATCCTCCTCTTTTATAAAGGCCCCACCTTCCTCTTTGATGTAAAGCTCATCCTCGGTGTGCGTCTCCACATGAGCGTTGAGCTGCTCAGAACTTGGGAAGCCCTTACCACAGGGAATGCACACATAGAGGTTGTCCCCGAACGCTGGCTCGAAACCTTCCTGTCGGTACACATAGTTGGCGCTGTGGTGCCCTCCTCCTGATCCTCCCCCACCTCCGGCACTTTCTCCATCACTTTGACCACTCTCTTCACTGTGGTCATGGCCATTCTCTCCTCCATCTTCCTCATCTTTGCACTGGTCAGAGGCAAAGCCACTGCTACCTCCTCCACCAGTCCCAGAGGAGCGGCCATCTTTAGGGCCCACAATCACACCGTTAACCAGGGGCCTGTCGTGATCCTCTGACTTCAACCCTGATGCTTCTCTCTTTGGCCACTCGTTCTTGCGAGCGGCTTGTCTGGTTTTTTTCTGCGGTGGAGGACCATCAGATTGGTTTTGGGCTTCCTCTGAGGTTTTGGAGGTGTTGATCTCCATGGTCTCTGAGATGCAAGTGTCTACACCTGGGAGAGTGGTTGAGGAGTCATCCAGTGAGGCACTGTTGGTTGTGGATACTGAGGCAGATTGCGGGGACTCTTGGGAGTTGCTGTGCGGGCTAAGGGCATCGGTGCCCATGCCCGCAGAGTGAGGACTCTTTTTGGACAAATCTAGCCCAAGATCTGGTTCTCCAGCACTTCCTCCACTGCTGAGGTTACCATTACTGCTTCCATTTCCTCCATTCCCCGTCTTTCCGGAGCTGCCGACAAACATCTCGTCATCCGAGAGCTTGTCCCGAAGGCCTTCGTCTGGCTGTGGTTGATCAGCATCAGAAGGGGTTGGAGGATAGTGGTTGTTGGGACCAGCAGGAGTAGAAGAGGAAAGGCGCTGGTTGTTGAGGCGTAAGCGGCTAAGAGGACCTGGAGTGGAGGGTTTTCCTGGCAAGGGCTTCCCGCCACTGCGCTTGAGCTTCTTTCTGCAAAGAGCGGCAAGGTCGTGGAGCTGGAGGTAGCTGGCGGCGGTCAACAGGGCACTGAAGTTCTGCTCGTTGCTCTGGTCCGACGAGGACAGGAGCTTCCCGGTATAGATAAAGTCCAGAACTTGTCTAAACACAGAGGGGTTGACCATCTCTGTGTCAAGGTTAATGAGATTATCGTGGAGGACCAGAGACTTGAAATAAATGCTGCTTGCAGCCAGGATGTTCTTGTGAGCCCGGAACAGGGCATTCTCCACCACGATGATAACATCACACAGGAAGCCCTTGGCTCTCTGCTGGTTGAGTTGCAGCAGCAGTTGTTTGGCATGATTTGGCAGTTCCATTTCCTCCTTCCTTCTCTCTCTCTCTTCCTACACGAGCACCACCTAAAGCTAAAACAGAGAAGAAGAAGATATTTAGTATTAAACGATCCAACGTCGACTCATTTGAAGGCAAATATCAAACTAATAACGTTTAGTAATCAAGCCTGGAGACATAAAAACGTTTTTGACTAGGAAATGTTTTCTGGCAGCTTGATCGGTTCATTTAATGTCGCAACTTTATTAAGACTGATCCATTTTATCGTTTCCGGTCACTGTCGTTGCACGACTCAGACCGTAATCAAGCTGAATGTCTTATGACCCCCGTTGTGAAATCATCACTCCCACCAAACCGCACAGCATGTCGCTCATAACAACATGGCAGAACTGAAACTGGGACCTGTGTCCTCCCTTCCATTTTTCACACATTGCAACCCTACATAGATCAAGTTCTGATTGTGTGTGTCGCTGCTGTTCTGGTACAAAAGCCGCAAGGGCGGGGGAGGAAGAATAGGTAAAGTAGCCATTTTCCTGAGGTGCCTCTTGCCTTCCAGTTTCGGTGGGGTGCCCTCTTTGGAAATGTGGCTCGCTCTCACCTCCATTAGGTCACGGTAATGTCAGCCCTGCCCCATTGTCTGAGGGTGGGGGTCAGTGGCACAGCAGGGCTGGGGGGGGGAGGATTAGGTGACACCTGAGCAGGTAAAACTACACAAGAGCGTAGGCAGAAGAGGAGGGGGAGGGTGTGGCACACAGACGAGGACAGCACCACTTGATCCTCCAGAGAGGCCCTCATTTATGGAATTAGGACAGGTGAATCTCATCCACTAATGACCCACCACACACCACAGTGCTCTTTTCTCAGCCACACACAAAACCCTTTTGTTTTTTAATGCAATAGATACAAAAGGCTTGCATTGCAACAGCGGTAGCGTGAACGTGGTCTTTAGCACGTGTTTAACAGGGTTTTAGGGCTTTGGGCTGCTGAGAAAATGAATCCATATCCACAGCGGGCTACAGCGTATCACAGGAGATTACGCAGCAATGCTCGAGCCATAAATGTGTGTGAAAACGCACCATTTTGACACTGTGCCAACCTGGACATTAATAAGGAAAACACCAGTGAGAAAAGAAGCGTTTGTTGTATTCAGTACGGCGACAGTCAGAAAGACCGGCAACGTGATCTTTAAATATTCCCTTTGTTAACAGGACACACACAAAAGCTACGATACAACACAAAGAAATTTATAACAAAAGCTCGCAGGCAGCGGGCCCGTCTCCGATGATTTGTCTCAGTAGGAATAAATATCAGTTTCAAAGAGGATTCGTGGTTTTTCTCTCCAGGAAATGAGATAGGACGCCACCACCGACATTTCTCAAGGTGCGTTTCTTTTTTTAGAAACGCTCCGGTTTCAGAAGGTTGTTTGTAAACAAGTTACTTGAAATTTCCTTTTTGAGAACGGTTTAAATCGTCATGGGTTAACTGGAGTTTATGAAGCATAAAAAACAGTTATGACCTTTTCTGTCAGCCACAACCCAATGAGCCAAACGATGGGTGGACTATTTTTATCAAGTAGACGAGCACCTAAAGCCCTCTCTTGTACATTGACTGATCTTAATCCACAAATAAAAGACGTCCTCGTTAAAGTCACGCTCCATGTTTGATAATTGACACGGATCGGATCAGAGGTGGCTCCGTTTTCTGTCAATGTTTGCTTGAGCATCAGCAGAAATCCTCTTAAGTCAAAGTTGGAGCAAGGATCCTGCTGTGGGCCATGAAACACAGAACTGGGGTCTTTGGGATGAGCTCCAGAAATAAAAAAATAAATAATTCCTAAATGACATATTTCTACTATGATTGTTAGAAACACAAAAATACAGCCATAAATAGATAAAGTGGAAGGTTTTAGACAATTTGTGTTCTTATTAGGGTTGCCACGGTGTGAAAATGTAACCTCACGGTTATTGTGACCAAAATTATCACAGTTTTCGGTATTATCGCGGTATTTTTTTTAAACGTGTTACATTTTCAGACAACTACATAAACCCTGTATGTCAGGAAAATATTGTCCTCAGTTTTTGTCTAAATTTAGCCTAAAATGTGTTATTTTGTAATTATGTTGTTTATTTGTTTACATATTTCCCCTTTAGTCTTTAAAATACCAATATTTGCCCATAACTTCTTAATTTGTCTGTTTGATGTAATCATTTTAAAAATATTAGACCAGATGATACTCAGTACTCAAGTAGCCTTCTAATCAGATACTTTTTTACCCTTACTTGAGTAATAAACCCTATATCAGGAAAATATTGTCCTCGGTTTGTGTCCTTCCAGTGAGCTTTGCAGATGTGGGAAAATGTCATCAGGCAGTAATCGTTGTTAAATTCATAATTATTCTCGGAGAGAGACCAACTCTTATCTGCCCCTGGGAGCCCCGTAATGCGTAGCGTCATTTCAACATGGCGGTGTCCGCGACACGGTTTATATGCAGGTAGCGGCGCTGCGGCTGCTTTATATAGCGACTCGTTGCATTCTCCCTCAACCCAAATCATCGGATCACGCATTTTAGCTAAAACGCTAACGTTAGCTTGTCTTGCGTTGACTGTAGAGTTGTGGGTGATGGTCACGCAGATGTGTCATGAGATTTGAAGCGTTGCTGCCTTTCACAGACACTTTTTCTGCACGTGCTGCAAACAGGATAGCCGTCTTCTATCAGCTGTCCCTCGTCATTCTTCAAATATCCAAAAAATGCCGTACTTCCCACTTTGTCTTCTTTGAGGGATAATAAATGTCCTCCTGAGCGCTGCCGTCTCCTCCTTTGACCATTATTTCAGCTTTAGCTTCAAGAAAATTTTGGTTGTAAACAACAAAGTGCGCATGTGCCGCCGGCAAGTTCAGCAGATGATACGGTGGCTGGTAAGGGTCACCGCGCCTACACCGCAGCCACGGTAATCCACCGAGATAATATAGTTTTTTTAAAAACAAGACGGTTATTGTTATTGCCCACTTTTTTTTACCGGGGTTTACCGCTACACCGGTTACCGTGACAACACTAGTTCTTATTATCAGTTTATTTGCAATGTTTGTATAATTCACCCATTCATTAGGGGGTCACATGTCATCATTGTTGACCCACTGACAACTTTGCACGGGTTATCTTCCACAAACGTTTTATCCAGTTTGGCGCTTCATCTGGTCAATGAGCGTCATATTTTTCATCGCTCCCCCCGTCCCTTTAATACATTAAATTACTTCAAACTGACAGAATTACATTTTTGACCGTTAATAATATCCGTGGATGCCTTTCGGCGCTGATCTGTGGTGTCCCTCACTCCAAGAGAAGTCGTGCTCTGCTGATGTTTTAGTAAAGTCCTTCATGGACCGATTTTATAAGAAGACAACAGCTGAGAGGACCAAGCCAGTGTATCCCTGTCACTTTTCTCCTTCCCAGAAATTTCCCGGAACGCCGATAGTGGAAAAATGGCTTAATCTCCACCCTGCATCAACGGCCTTTGTGAAATTACAGAGGTGGGATGAGGCGCTAAAGTCGATCCGCTTCTGAAGTTCCTCCAAGCTGGAAACGGAGGTAGTCACACAGCCCAACTGGCGACTAGGTGTGACTGGGTGTTGACACATAAACCTACACTCTAACCAAGGAACTGGTTCTGTGATGGCTCAGTTTCACGTGCAAAAGCCCACACAGACGCAGAGCTTGGTCAACTTGATTGGTTGTCGTGAAAAGCCAAAAGCACTCACATAAAGGGGGCTTCGTCTTTGCAGGCGTGTTTCGAAACCATAAGGCTAATGACTAAGGCCTTTGCAGGCTCAGAGGCAGATTACACCCCGTAGATGAGTGTGTGTGCTATCACCGTGTCCCTATTAGCACTTAAAATGCAAAGAGAAAACAAAAAACGAAGCTAAGCGAATCTCAGAGGGGGCTCCTTGTTCCCGGATGCCCTCGGGGAGTCTTTTTGTGTTTTGGCCTATTTGGAAACGATGAATATCGTTCTCCAAGGAACCTGAAATACCAGGCGTGGTTGGAAACATTACAAACAAGACCCTGCAGTTGAAGCCCGCCAGCGCAACACTAAACAAAAAAAAAAAAAACTAAATTAAGGAAAGTGACGGCGTATGAGGAGAGTTTACCGAGCACGAGGCTCGATCAGGCGAAACTGGGCGTTGTTTAGGAGTAAACCAGAGAAGGCTGGGGTCTGTCACAGTCTGACTAGCTGATACAATCAGCTGAAGTAATCATTACTCTCAGGTCCACGCCTGGGCTTGCCTCATCGGCTTTGACACTTCTCATCACGGTCTTCCTCCCTCCCCCGTCGTTGCGCTGCACATCCTTCCCTCACTCTCATCTTCCCACACTCACCACAGTCTCGCCGAGCCCACGACCACATCTCAGGAACTGTCCCCAATGTTGATCATAATGAGCCATTCTGGAATACAGAACCCATATCCTGATCACAGAACCTGCTGCTGGGGCTGCGGCTCTCAGCCCTGGAGGCAGTAATGAAGAAGAGAAAGGAGAGCCTCCGCTGCGATGCCAGCCAGGAAGCCATATATCATTCGGGTCTCTTTTAAAATACACACCTCTGCATGCTTTATGGGGGATCCAGGAGACTTTTCTCCTGCAGGCCAACATAAAAGGGGGCTGGGCTCAGGGTGGAGAAACAGCACAGAAGCATAAAAAAAAACCTTCCCCCACCTCCTCCCATCCCAACTCTCGTTCTCCCTCTCCTTCCCCCATCACCCACACAGCTACACACTCCCCCCTGGCCCCTTCGGTGCTGCGCTGTGCCGGCTAGATTCCAGGGGGCTGCTAATGGATTACTGCTGATCTATATGCAGCAAGGGTGGGACACACGTAGTCCCAGCTCCCCTTCTAATGATGCTACCCAGGAAAAGAGATGTATTACAGCAGGGAGACGACAGGTACCTCTGCCTGGCTTTTTATGCACGTTTTAAATAAAACATCCGAGCAGTTTCCAGTCCGCTGGCATTGTCGCCTGAAGATCTAAAGTTTAGGACGGATGAATCATTAGAAAGGTGATATGCATGACGAGCGAGG